GGGTTGGGCCACAGTTAACTTCCAAGCCCGGCCCATGCCTGGTAACCAGGACTGGGCCATAGTTAATTTTCAAGTCTGGCCCATGCCATTTGATAAAAAATGATAAAAAAAAATTTTTAGTGTTATTTTTTTATTTTAATGTTGATGTAGCTAACGCACCTTTAGATAATTTGACTCTTTGTTTAGACCTAACTTTTACTAATTATCGAAGTAAAGTGAAAATAACATTTGCCCTAACCGAGATTCGAACCCGAGCCGCGCTCTTGCCAGACCGATAACTAACCCCTACGCCGTACGACCGATAAGTTGAATCACATCTCATCATTCATATAAACTAAATCTACATCGTGACGAAGTGTGATGGTTTATTATTTTTATAATTTGTTATTTAATATTGTGTTTTGATGAAAATGAACTATTTTTTACAAATGATTATTTGTTAAAATAATTAGGAAAACGGTTGACCCTAAACGCCATCTCTGCAACTTCTCGCTAATTCCGTTAATACATGGCCGTTTTTTTTGAGCTCGTCGAGCTCAAAAATACAATCTGTGTGTTATTTTGAGCTCTCCGAGCTCAAAAAGATACCTTTTCTGTGCTTTTGCGCTCTTTGAACTCAAAAATCTGATAGAAGTTTCATAGAACACTATTTTTTGAATTTTCAAACCGCAATAACTTTTGAATGAATGAACCGAATTTTACGCGGTTGGCGGCATTCTATGCAGTTTTTTAAGCCTTATAAAGAATTTCTAAGTTTTAATTGGTCAAACTAGAAATTTCGGAGTAACTCTAAAAAAACACTTCCCAGATAGCAATATGACGTCTTTTACAGTTCTCAAAGGACTCTTATTTAAGATTTAGACGTCAGAATTTTGATCAAAATGAGGTCTCCAAGACGTTTTGAGTACGTCCAATGCGCCACCTAAAGAGTGAATCAGGACTTCATAGAGAGAGTTCTTAAAGAGCTCTTTTTTCTGACTTCAAAAAAAGAGTTCTTCAAGAAGTCAGAATTAAGAGCCCTTTCTGACTCCAGAAAAAAATAGTTTATAGAGGAGACATTTTTAGTTTTAATTGTATTGTAATTAATATTGAAAAAGAGCTTAAATTGAAGACAATCAAGTACATTAAAATATATTTTCTTCGAAATAAAAAAAAAAAAAATGGTATTGCTCACAGTTTAAAATATGAATTTACTAGCGGTCACCCATCCAAGTATTTACCATGACTAATGCCTCTTAACTTCAGTGATGTGGTGTCCCCAAAAAATACCTTTCGATTTAATTATTGATAATTATCGATTTAATTTTTAATAAGTAGAATTACTGAACGTTTTGTTATTTATGATAATATTTTTATAATACAAAAATAAATACACAGCGAAATGAGTTCACTCGAATGCAATTATTTTTATTTTTTTATCATTTTAAAAATTCTTCAATAATGTGAAAAAAATTTTTCTAAGTTCCATATTTTGATGACGTACAAAATCAGAAAAAAAAACCTATTCAAGAGCTTCTATTCTTGATGTCTTACGAAGTCAGAAAAAAAGACCTCATAAAGAGCTCATATTTCTGATGTCTTGGAAAGTCGAAAAAAAAGACCTCTTAAACAGCTCATTTTTTTGACCTCTTACGAAGTCGGAAAAAAGACTTCTCAAAGAGCTCATAAAAGTCTTTGAAAAGACATCTTTAAGAAATCCTTCTGACTTGGATGTTGTCTGGGATATAGTAGTTTATATATTATGTCAGTTGTACGTAATATCTAAGTCATTTCCGTGATATCATAGAGAAGTAATAAACTTACATCAGTATGATGTCAAAATTATATCATATATTATTACATCATAATTGGATCACAAAACAGGTCAATTGTACGTCATATTTACGTAAAATATTGTGACATTCCTATGACTTATAAATGACGTCATATTAAAGTCATGTGTTCACTGGGGAGTATCAGAAAGATTGATTGGAGCCTACTCTCTTAAAAGAAATCAGTGGAATTTCACTGGTTCACCAGTGGAAGTTCACTGATTCACCAGTGAAATCGCACCACTGATTGGAATCAGTGAACGTCCACTGGTGAACCAGTGAAATTTCACTGATTCCTTTTAAGAGAGTAGGATTCGTTAATATCCTTGCAGGATGAGTTGACTGTTTATGAAGTTCTGACAATCTCGTAGTCTAATCGATGTCCATGGTGTCAGAGGTGCATCGATGTTAGCTGGAGAAATGCAGATAGTCATGAATCCAGTTGAGATCGGAGTTGAAAATTCAGATGATCATTAGGCTGATTAAATTGAACTGGGTCGCCTAAATCATTGAGAAATGTCTTGTAGGTAATTGAAGATGACTAGTGATCCGCATTTGAATCTATGTGATTTGCAATTCCCATAGAAAATTGTATTACTAGGACGATGAATTGGTGAGCAGTGTGGTGGGCCAGACCAGATGATGTTAAATTGACACAATGCACTGATTAGGAGTTTTCAACGTCAAGGTATGAGCACTCCACGTGTGAGGTACGTCCATTGAATTAGTTGGCGTCGATTACGTGAACAAGTCTGACTACACGTTCTCTGGCAATGATGGACATCAAGTCATGTCTCAATATGTCACTTTTCTGAGACTATTAGATATACATGAAGCAGCGTAACTCCATGGCGAGTGAACTTGAGTGGACGTTTGATGCACAGAAGCCGTCGTGTTCCTCCATGCTAATTCCAGGAATTTGGAATTAGATTTCGCAAGTACGTGGACGAGTGTCTAGATCCATCTTGACGGTGCTATTTGAGACTGGATTTCCATCCTCTTGCGAAACTACGTTGATTCCCGAAAAAAAATTTTTATAAGCCCTTATGGCATCTGAAACGCGATATGCTCAAACGCATTTAAACGTGTTAGGTAAAATTTTTACATTGATTGCAGATTGTAGAGGTATGGGCCGTTTGCTTCTATGGAGCTTTCTTTCAAACAAGAGGAGATTTTTCTCCTTTCACTTTTCGCTCCATCAATAACGCCACTGTCCACGCTACCAATCTCTTTTACGAACCAGGAATCGGAGCCATCGAACGAAGAATCATTGAAGCAGAGATGGAAGTAGATGATTGAAATTTTTATTTTTAAAAACGCTCAAGACTCCTACAATATTACTGTTTATTGATTTAATTAATTTAATTTTTCGCAAAGTTTTTGAATATAAAAAAAAATTATTTAATTATTAAATAACAGATTAAATAAAATATTGTGCTCTACTCTCGACATTTCAAAAAAAGCAGTTTTCTCGAAACTAAAATTGATTTTTTGTTATTTATATCGCACTTACAGGTTAAAATGAGTACACCTATGTCAAGTCAAATAATTTTTCAGGCACATAAAATATATTTCAATAACAATTTCTTTGTTTAACATAATAAATAATAACATTAAACATAATCTTTTTTGGACGTCCGTGTATGAATGGGTGTATGTGGCAGGGAAATTGGTCGAAAAAATGATCGTACCGGAATAATTTTTTTTTAATTATCTAAAGTAACACGACAGAATTTCTTAGTTAATATGAGCGTTCAATTCACTGTCGTTAAATTATTATTTATAAAAAACTAATATATGACTGTGGATTTTTTTGTATTTCTATCTATACATTTTATTATAGTATTTTTTTTCCTCACCTTGCAGTTATGGCGCCACTAAACCATAGCAGTGTTTTTTATTTATTTTGCTTTTTATATTTTATTTTAATCAATTTCATTTTAAAAAATGAGATTATGAGGCGTGCACTTTTGGATTTTCCAAACTTTTTTAATTTATACGCGGAAGCCCAGTCGTGACACGTTAAGTAGCTATACACCAGCAAGAGTACAAAAAAAAAAAACTAATTTAAAATTCTATATGCGGCAATGAAGGCAATAAATGTTTTCTCATTAAATTCAGTGAGTTATTTTACACTTTATATTAATTTAAAGAAGAAAATAAGAGAAATCACTAGTCTTCATGTGTAAACAAAAAAATATAATTTATTTAAAAAACAAATTACGACGACGGTTGACCGTAAAGGCCACCCCTGCTCTTCCAGCTCAAAAAAATTATTTTGGTGTCGTTTTAAGCTCTCTGAGCTCAAAACTCTAATATCAGTTTAATGAAACACAATTTTTTGAATTTTCAAACCGTAATAACTTTTGAATGAATGAACTCATTTTCACGGGTGCCACAACTTAGTCCTAACAGAGACTATACAAAACGTAATGTTTTTAGTAAGGTGCACTATCCCAAACGTCTGATATCGAGATAAGCACATTTAAGAAATGTGATACTTGCCGAAAATTAGTTTTCATAAACGTTACTTAATCCTAAAATGTATATGCTAGAAATGTGATGTCTAAAGAACGTTCATGTTAAGAAACGTTATATTTCAAAAATGTAAAGCTTCTAAAATCGATAGCATCACAAGCGTGCCATTTGTAAATCGTTCAAGGGTCTAAACGTGATGTTTCCCTAACGTTATACGTTTAAAAAAATTCAGCCGCGTTACCGACTGCAAAACAAGTCTAATTCAATCGATATTATAGATTTCTTATGATACTATACCTGGAAATTTTCGTCTATAAAATCACACTGTCATATGTGCAAACGTCAAAAATTTTATTTGACAAAAATTTAAGTCAGAATGATATTGATGAGCAAACTTAAATCCTCTTTGAGTTGTGAGAACACAATAGTTGAAAGTCACTGGACCATTTGATTGTAGCATAGAGAACACACTTAATCAATTAAAAGTTTCAATAATTTCGAAAAAAATAACCAATGTAACAGCGAATTTAATAGAAAGATAGGAGAATGTAATTTTTATTTAAACATATATATACATACTTATATAAACTTTTAAGCCATATGTATTATTTTCTAAATTAGTTGACGAGCTGAGTCAAAATATATCGAAATTTTTCAAAAGTTTCGTCATGAAGACCAATGTAATAGTTAGATTTTCATACGATTCTCTACCTATTCAAACACTACATCAATTTCATGAAAAACTTCCATTGCATAATAGTATTCTGGTGGCTGTAGAATCACGCCTGGAAAAATAAGTTTAACACTTTTAGTTAATGCTATTTCTATTATCAATTTTGTAGTTTTACATGGTGATATTAATGCCATCGAATTTATGTGCACCATCTTTTTATCTTTTTATTTTATTTCACAGAACATAACATTTTTGGTAGCTTTGATTATTCGTTATGGTACAAATTTTTCAAATATTGTCTACAAAATTTAAACAATCTATCTATCAGATCTCGATTAGATCCTTTGAAGAATGGACTACTATATCGCGTTACTAATGCCGGAAGGTCGCATCTCAACATCTACGCCCTTCTGGCCCTGCAGAACCAAAAGGGCGTATAAAAAAATTTTTTTTTTTACTCCAATTAGCCTAAAAATGTTCATAACATATAGATCTATAAGGAAAGTGAATAAAAATTGTTTTTTTGTATACGCCCTTTTGGCTTTAAGACAAAAAAATTCTAAAGGCATAAGGGCGCATAATTTTTTTTTGTCTTAGAGCCAAAAGAGCGTTTAAAAAAAATTTTTGTTATTCCCTTTTCTTACAGATCTGAATGTTATAAACATTTTTAGGTCAATTGCAGGAAAAAAAATTTTTTTATGCGCCCTTCTGGCTTCGCAGAGCCAGAAGGGCATCGATGTTGAGATGCGCCCTTCTTCTGGCATTAGTAACGCAATATTTCATTTATTCCGATAGCATTAATCACTCGAAATTTATTACATATTTAATTGACATTACCTCCTACTTCTAATACATCCTCCTCTTCATCAGTCGCGATATCCATATTATTAAGGTTCTGCTCTTCTTCTTGATACGCGGGCTTCAGAAAAAAACTAGCATATGCTAGGAAAGATTGAATATTTAAAATATTTTGTTCGTATAATATCCAAGCATTGTTAATATCCTGATCTCTTTTTAATGTTTGGCTACGAGGCTCGCGGATGACTGGTTCACCACGGAACAATGATAGAAGTTCTAAATGTGTTACTGCTTGTAAATCTCGCAATTTTTCTGTAAGATAATAATAATAATAACAATAATAATAATAATAATAACAATAACTAGCAACCTTGCAGTCACTATGTGACTGCTGTAACTTGTGAACTATAAATATATAAAATTTTTCTTTAGTAAATAATGACTTTAGTTACATTGCACTGTACCTACTTTTCTAATTATTGACGTGATTAAAGATATAAGCTCATCCTAATGTTACACTGATCAAGAGCTTATATTTAAGTAACTACATGCATTTTGTATATATTTATGGTATGTACATATATATAATATATATAAATATATGAAAAATTGATGTGGGTACTCAAATGAAAGGTCTCGATGAGTGTAATGTCGAGGTAAACTGATATTGTTAAAAATTTTAATATTTCTGAAGATACAAGGTCATTTCTTAATTATGTATTTAAAGATAGAGCATTTTTAAATGCAGCCTGAATACTTTCCATAATAAATTGACCATCAGTGAGAAAAATTTTGCGTCCAGGATAGCCATATGATAAATTCGGTTTTTTGTGAGTAAAATTCAGTGTCATTGCAAAGGTCTTGACTTGACTTCGTGCGGGTCATTGCGTTTTGTATAGTCTCTGTTAGGACTAAGTTGTGGCACCCATTTTCACGCAGTAGGCAGCATTCAAAAATTTTTTTAATTGAAAAAATCCTTATCTTTTAATGTTTTATGATTTTTTATCTTGAAAAATATTTTTATAGAATTTAAAAATATAATAAAAAAAAAATAAATAAATAAAAATTGATTAAGTTTTTATTGTTATGAATATTCATATAAAAATATGTTTATTCATATAGAATAAACATATGTTATTATAAATCCTATTAACTCAAATAGCAGTCTAAAATGAACCATTTTATTGAAATTTTTATTAGCAACTTATTTTACATATTGAATAATTCGTTTATATCATAACTTTTTTCATAAATAATATGAAAATCAATGTTCTAAAAAAAAAATTCTAAAATGGTTAGTTTATATTTTTCTTTATTATACAATTATATGATAATTTTGTTTCAATGGATATAAAAAATTATAAATAATTATTCAAATATTAATATATAATACATAAAATGGTCTAAATATATCATCTTCTATTTACACAAAATTTACTATTGTTAGTAATAAAATGACAATTACATAGATAAGCTAAAATATCTTAACACGGTAGCATTGTAACTTACTTAAATCTGAACTGTCAAGTGTGAAAGTTAATTTTTTTTAGGTAGATTTTGTTAGAAATCTAACTAGCTATTGCATTAGTCCTCATGGTGGAATTTTTACCTGATTTTGCTATCATATGTCATAATTAGTCAAGTAAGTTTCAATAATACCATTGGTTAAAAAATTTATGTGTATATATAAATATATATTTACAGTCGTCGTCATTGATTTGTAACAGTTCGGTTGCCCAATTTTAAAACACAGTAACTACAAAATTTTTATACCTGATTCTTTCTAGTATTGCTGCATTTTTTATAATTTTTAGACCGCAATTTCAAGTAATTTTTCTTAAAAATATTAATATTCAAATATTTTCCATTTAAAAATCAAATTTTTCATCAATTTGGCGGGAAAACTTTTTTTTAATAAGAAAAATTGAAAAAAATTTTTAAATGTTAGTTACTGTGTTTTGAAATTGGGCAGCCGAGTTGGCAATGATTCGAGTAAAATAAAAAATTCTCAATTTGGACATCTCTCACTAAAAATTTCAATTAATAATATGTTTAAAAAATAAAAAAAATAAACGAAACTATGAAGAAAATTCACATAAAATAAATAACTGTAAGCTCAGACAAACATAATTATAGAAATTTAACCAAAAAAAAAAGTACTATATGCATAGAAATAATTAAAGATAAAAAATTACCTTATGGTAAATCACCAGAGAAATAATTTAAATATTCAAAAATATACAAATAAAATATTTCAAATAAATTCCATAATTAGAGATGTTCATATGTAAAGCTTTTCTATATTCAGAGTTGTTCATTTGTGTATATGTCAAATAAGCTTGATGTCTTTTATTCGAATTGTCTGAATTTAGATTTGTCATTATTTTTTAATTTCCTTTGTTTCTTCTGTTTATATTTCCATTTTTACAAAATTTAAATTGCTTTAATGGACTATTTTCTAATTTTAGGCATTTATTTCAATTTTAATTTTGTATTATGATATGATCTAATAATTTAGTAAATGTCTTTATATTTAGTTATAGTTATTTGACATTGTTTATTTTCAAGACTGTAATTATCAGGAGACTGATATTTCATTGATTTTCTTTTAATTGAAACATCTAATTTATTTGAAATATTTTATTTGTATATTTTTGAATATTCAAATTATTTCTCTGGTGATTTACCATAAGGTAACTTGGTTTTTAACAAATTATTATAGTGAAAATGAAGAGAATTTTATATCAAACGAAATCTACTTCTATTTCGGCTGCCGAATGGCCTTTTTTTATTTATTTATTTATTTCAGCCTATCATTGGCGTAACATTGCATTACATTATAAACTTCAACTTAAATACTTAACTACTTATTAAGCTTAAAACTCGAACATATATTTTTAATTCTTAAATTCTTAAAATTCTTAAAAGACTAAAGTTCTTAAATTCTTAAATGTCTTGTGTGAAAGATAATTTTAACTAACATAAATCATAACTTATAAGTAAATTATAAAGAATATTTTTCGACTAGAAATAATTAAAAAAAAAAAAATACACTTCAATTGATATTTTTAAATTAAATGTAAAATATTAAAAAATCACACTTTTCAATTTTTCTTTGATCAAATTTTGAAAAATTTTTTAGGCGAACTATATTTTCTCAGCACGTATAAATTAATATAATAAACTTTACACGATTACAATATAAAAAAGATTTTAGATTCTTTAATCTTTTAACAGCGATGAAAAAGTATATAATAAAACTTGTAGATCTAGATTTGACAAATAATTAACAATTATTTCAACTATCTCATTTGGTAATGGAATAAAATTATTATCCAATAGAATTTGAATAATCAAGTTATTTTTATCTACACCGATTTGTAACGAAAACTTAATCATATCACTGTATATCGGACAATTTTTTTCCAATACATCCGAATTTAACAATCGCATTACGTTTATATTTTTGGATAACTTATACAGTTTATTCAAATTCATGTGTAAAAAATCATAATAACGAATTGTCATATTTTTAACAACCAACACTTGCATTTGTTCTAATTCGTTTGAGCAAGAGCTTTCTAACTCGCGATAAGTTTCACTGAGTAAAATAATTTCTTGATCCTTTTCGTCAATTTTAAAATTTGCTACTTTCAGCTTTATTAAATGACGAACCAAAGTGTGCGTAATTATTTCACATTTACAACCACTATACTGATGCTGTAAGCGTAATTTCACAAGATCTTCAATATTATTCACGCGAAGAAACAAAACTGGGCACATATTGTCGAGTGCAAAAATTAAGGGTGTTTGTTGCTGGCAATTTTTCAGCATAGTATTAGGATGATACTTCAATAATAAATTTACAGCTTCCACTTGAGCAGCTTGAATCGCTAAATGAAGAGGAGTGCGCTTCTCCTTATCTTGTAAATTTATGTCAGCGCCGGATTCCAAAAGTAATTTAATAACGTTTAAGTCATTATTTTGAGCGGCTAGATGTAAACAACTGTACTCTTTTGAAATCGCCACATCGAATGTTGCATCAATTTGTGCTTTATATATTAAAAGATATTTTATGATATCATAATTTCCTCTCATAACTGCGATATGAATAGGTTTAAGTCTGTTCTCTACTGTAGAAGCATCAACATGGGCACCATTTTTCAGCAACAATTCTACTATTTCGGCGTTGCTGCGTTCAACCGCGTAGTGCAATAAAGTGTACCCAGTATAATGCGGCGATGACATTGTGACATTAACTGCAGCTCCCTGATTAAGTAAAATTTTCACCGATTGCACTTGCTCGGTACCAATAAAATGACACAGAGAAGTTTGTTGTACACATAAATTGTAATCATCACTGTTCACACTTTTATGTTGATGCGGCAAGACTTTATTTGTATTACTGTCTGCAACCTCAGAATATAATGGCATTGGCCATGCATTACTCATGTCTAAGTAATTTTCCATATTTAATTTGAATTATTCACTTGCAAAAGTATAAGTAAATTAAAAGTTTTTTTTTTTTTTACTTGAAGCAATTTAAAAAAACTAATACACTTCAAAATTACACGTAAAATATTTACAAATATCACTTTTTTTGTTTGAGTAAACTTCTGAACTCTAAGGATGTTCAACAGAAAATAAATTTATTTTTTCTGCAACGATGTTTTATACCCTCGACACTACTTCTTACACTGATGACATTTCCTACCTTAAAATTATTGCTACTGTCTAGACAGTCGTATTTAAATGCATGGAAATTCATCTTCTCCTCCCACTTTAAAATAGGTGTTTTCTATCGTATGCACCTTCCGTAGATTAGAGAATATACCTTAAACGATTTAAGGGGCCATGAAAGAAGATTTGATAACATTTTTATGAGATAATTTTTGTGTACTTAAATATTACGATAAGTTATAATCTTTTAAGTAAAATTCTGTAATATTTGAAGGTGTGTGAAAAACTTCAATGTATAAAAATACAAACTAATGAGGGTCGTCATTATATCTTCCGTACATTCTCAAAAGAATATATGTCTACATTCAGGTAATAAGTATTTAAATTTATAAATAAGTAACCATTTAAAATTTTAGATTTACTGCTAAGATATTATTTCATTTCTTTGAAACTTGTTTCATTGATGAAAACAATAGGAGGAATAAAAAAATAAATTATTTTTCGTGAAAATGTATTTTGTCTCCGCCCATTTTTTTCTTTTAAATTTAAAAATTCTTTTATATTTATTTTAATCACCTAATTGAATTTTAAATAGCAATTTTTAAATAAATGAAATAGAATCATATTTTTGTTTAGGATAGTCAAAAATTAAATCTAAACAATTTTGTATTGTATGAAATCGTAGAGTTTATTTTTGTAATTTTCATTAATAATAAAAAAATTTTTAATTTTTAATCGGTAGTCTTTTAAATTTATAATTTAAGCTTATAAATGCTTTAGAAACTCAGGTAGAGCGATATCGCGCAGACTCATATAAGGAATATGCTTAGATTATTCAACTACTAAAAGAGTACTTCAGTTGAGCGTTATTAGTTAAGTGATTAACAACAATTGATTATGAGTCAATTTTCATTAAAAAATTTAATAATCAGAATTCTATTAATTTTTATCACACAGCCTGGTAGGCCGTATTATAATTTAAATAATTAAAATGTACAGTAAGGATATAATTAATTTAACAATAACGTAATATCTATTTAAGGATACAATGGAGTAAAAATAACTAAATTAAAGTTACCACTCGCTGTACACAATGGAACAGGCCCCATAGAACTAATATGTGGTTATAGAATTGGAAGACATGAAAATGGTCTAGTTGTAAAATGGTTTCATGATTTGGAACAAATTTACCAATGGATTCCACCAAGTTGGTCTTAATTTTAATATATAAATTGATATTATTTTTTTATTTAGATTTCAAACATCAAATAATCTTCATTGCGCAAATTTTTATAAATATTCTACTAACTATTTTTTATTTACCTAGTGCCACCTCAAATTAATGGTATAATTTCCGGTCTAACTGAATATCTACCTGAGAATACTAATAAGCCGTTATCACATTCAATTATTCGACTGAAAAAAGTAAATCTTGCTATGACTGGAGTTTACACTTGTAAAATTAGTACTATTCTTGAAGACATTGCAGAGTCAAGAAAAATGACAGTTTATGGTAATTTTTGATTATAATTAAAGTAATAAATTTTTAATAATTACTACAATTATTAATTTCTTTGTTATTTCAGTTCCTGATCAGAAGTTGAATATTTATGCGGATTACTACAACAACACTCACATAAACTTGACATGTGTTGCTAAAGGTGCTCGTCCAAGTCCCATTTTAACAATCATCGTTGACGGTAAACAGCTGGACAATCGCAGCATTCGCATAGAAAATTATCGAAATTATCCATGGATCAAGCAAGAAGCTATCGTTTCTAATTATTCAAATCCAGCAATTATTCAGTGTGAAATAACCATACCTGGAACAGGATATAGAAAACGAGAAAAATTAATTTATTATTACAGTACGTACATTTATTTTATAAAAATTTATACTGGTTGGTTAAAAATTTTATTAATTTAATTTTGTTTCTGTATTAGATAAGCAATTGGAAAGAAATCATAATCTTCAACTACGTCCGTCATTGATAATGGCAATAACGAATGTTTTTTTGACATTTATATTTTCTAATGGCTGATATTAATTCAAAGTAATTAAAAAATTATATAATTTGTTGTGTAATAATAGAAAATTAAGAAAAAATCTGTGTACAAAAATAAATCATCTGATTGTTTTTAAAAGTCTTAAGCCAATAAACTGTGTAATCTATTGAATCGTAAAAAATCTTGGGTGTATTTCCATTTCAGTGAGCAATAGGTCTAATCAATAAATCGATTTTATCGCAAAATAGGCATCAGCGGTTAAATGTCTTTATCCTCTCGTAGACTATAAAAATAATAAAAAAAATGAATAAAAGAGAACAGAATAAATATAATATGATGAGGTGATGATTTTTCAAGCAGAAAATTAGATTCGACCTTTTGAATTACTAACAATAGCTGTGTTGAAATTGATAATTTTCTTTGAATAGATCTTATAGTTATGCTTGAAAAACAAATATAGATTAATGACTGAGGCAAAAAAGATGAGTTGTCATTTTCGCTTTATGAGTAATAAGATAAATATCTTAGTATACATTTTTAAAATTTTATGATGTATCATAATTATGATCATTAGATTTGTTTTTAATTTCCTGCTTTGAAAATTAATAATTTAAAAAAGTAAGGAGCTATTGACATCATTTATATTTTGAGAATGTGAGTTTTTATCAGTTTTTTCACGTTTTGAGGTAATAAGAAGCCGTTTCGATTATTCCCGGCTGGGCGTCCAGCCGTGTATGTGTCTCAGTATGTAAACTTTTTTGTACCTAATAAACTAGGTCGAATTCCACCAAGCGAGACAAAATCGAATGATGCGTTCAAAAATTATAGCCATTTACAAGTTTCTAATCAATTATTTTCTTGAGATAACTTTTCTGTAAACAAATTTCGTACTTGAAAAATTGCATCCAATACCACTTAGTGAATCAAAATCAAATTACGTGTTCAATAGTCATAGTCACAAAAGTACCTATTTTTGAAAAATTAATGACAGTGAAATTATAAGACAATTGACAATTTTTTGATTTTTCTTGTAAGATAAGCTAGGTTTAAAAATTGCATTTATAATTTTTTAGAGCTTCTGAAAATGGAAATTTTCAAATAAATTTTTCTTGTTATAATTTATTTGGTAAAAAAATTCCAAAAGCTTTTCAAGATAAAAGTTTACCAATTTTTCCATGACCTTGAGCTTAAGGAGAAATCGATACCCGATCACTGATGATGATTCAAATCGTTAAAATTGGGGTGATTTCCAGTGCTTGATATCTAAACTTAGTCTGACACTCAATTTAAAATTTCTTGCTTACTTTTATTTCACCTCATTTTTACTGATTGTAAACAGCTGATTACATTACTAAAATTTTTGATTGTTTTTATAAACCACTGTTCTATAAACCATAATCCAAATATTGTTAAAATGTCTATGAAGATCTGTTTATATTTTTACATATACTTTATACTCTTCTATTTTGTATTTTTTGCTATTCGGCCATTTGCCTTTGCATTTAAATTAAATAAATAAATAAAAATTATCAGATGTCTCTCAATTTTATTATCATAAAAAATTCAAATTAAATATAATTCCAAGCTTTGCGCTCGAAAATGAGCGGAAAGTTTAAGGGGTGGCCTTCAGAATCAACCGATTTACAGATTTTTTAAAATTATTTTTAATGTAATTATACCTAAGTGCATGAAATTAATTAAATTTTTTTCAAGATGTCGGCAAAAATAATTTATTAGCAAAAAATAAAAGATATTTACTTTATAAAAACTGTAATTACTCGTAATATGAAACTAAAAATTAAAAGAAATCGAGTTCTGAGTGTAGACTTTTTATGATAAATTATCAGTCGCGGTGATAGTCAATTATTATGATTTTTTAAAATCTATTGTAGCAAAAAAAAATAAATGATCAAGAAGATGATATGCACATCACGGATGATACATGATCCATGATCTGTGAACTTGTGAATGCGCAAAATCCGGTTGTTTAGGGATGAAAAATAATGTAAGCACTAAATAACTAAATAACTGTATCATGTAGGTGGAAAGTCAGCGGAAGTTAGAAGGGGGTGAATATATTCAGGAAAGTGGGGAAAAGTTGATCAAAAGTTGATAGAAGAGCGGTTTAATCTCTTCTGCATCGGCACTCGCAACTGGGCTCTCGTCCTGTCAGGTAAGCTTCAATAATTTATTTCATCAGTAAAACACTGTTTTATATTGTTATTTTTTTTTACAATATTTAAATTGTTTAAATAATTTTTAAAAATTTTCGGTTTTTAGATATTTTGAAAAGCTGTTCTGCAAATTTTTTTCTGTAAAAAATTTCTTTCACCAGACTGAAGATGAATCGACTTTACATGGTCATCTTTATTGTTGGTAGTTATAATTTATTTAAATACTTTTTTAACAAACACCTGAATCTAGTGTTGAGAGATATTTTTAAAAATTGTTTTTAATTAGTAAAAAAAAAAAAAACTTTTTAAAAAGATCTAAATTATGTACGGCGTGGTTACATGTATTAAATCATTTAGTTTTAAACAAATATAATTTATTGTAGAATATAAAAAGAATATTCGATATTTCAATATACATTAATGACGTATTTTGATGAAACAGTTGAAAAGAATAATAATTAAACGTTAATGTCGTGGAATCAGAGGGATAACTTAGAAGCGAGGCGGAAAAAGTTAATAAAATTTATGCGGCATTCGACTACGCAACTAGAAAACTTGTAATTATTACACTATTGAGATTCATTCACCGTTTTTCAAATATTTTCCTTTGATAAATAGTAATTAAATCGCGTGTTATAAATTATAATACTGTAATAAATTAGAACTCAAAGTTGAATTTTAATAATAAATTATTATGAAAATGAATTTAGCAGACATCTGACAACTTTATGATTTTTCTTATTAGAAAAATTTCACTGGTAGAAGATTTAAAAAACTTAAAGAGCAATTTTTTAAAAATATTTTCTTAGCTTTAATTTAATTAAAGAAAAGAATCAAAAAATTGTTGATTGTCTGCTGATTTCAGTATCATAAATTATTCTTTAAATATTGTTTATTTAATATAGTGTGTGCACTATGGAATTGTGGTGGAATACTGACATGTGATCAATGTGGACGAGAATGTGCTCCAGCCTGCGGAACTCGACAATTTCGTGCATGTTGCTACAATAATTTAAGAAAACGAGCTCCGAATCTGGGATTTAAACTGTGGTTAGTACCTCCCGAAAATTCTGAACATTTCAAGTTCGATTATGATTCTTAAATTGTCCAGACTTTGACTGATATAATAACCGATATTTTTGTCACGGTCTAATATGAATTCTGCTTCCGTATAATATTACATCGAATATTGTAATCAGATATTTATTTTATTGTTTTGAGTCGTCTATCATGTAATAGCTATATTCAAAAAAGTGTTAAACATTTATAAATTAATCACAGATTATATTATTACAAAAGATAAATAAAATATTTAACAAATATTTCATGTAAGTCTTGAATTAATTAAAAAATGGCTAGAGAAAAAAAAACCACTCAAATAAATCGATCCAATATAATTTTTTCTAAACTTTAAAAGAGTAAATTGATTTATAATATACAACGACGAATATGAACCCGGGTTTTGAAGTTGAGTATCAAATTTTAATTACAAAATTATATATAAAAATACATTTACCTTTATTATTTACATAAATAATTGAAATATGTTATCATTTATCACATTACGCTGTCGTGGATCAATTGAATTGTCTTTTCAAGTAAAAATTTCTTTTTTTCTTCTTTTTTACATTTACTCAGTTTAATTAACTTTTTTTTAATTGTGTTTTTCATTATATTCCATTGTAATTTGTCCATTCCGAGATAAGAATCAAGAGTTAATAATAAATTTAAATCTTTTTCTGTTTCAATTTTCTTAACACTCATTTTCTTAGTAATCTTCGGCGATTTTTTTATTTCTGGAGCTGATGAAAAAGATTCACGCGATATAGGCACTAAAATAAATATAAAAATGTTCATTAATAAAAATTTGAATGTGTTAATTTTAAAAATACTTACCACCAATTTCTTCTTGTTTAATCTCTTTCATCGGTTCTTCTTGAAATTCATGACTCTCAGTGATTGATAAATCATTTTTTTCATCAGTTGATTCATCTTGAGGCTTTATCAGGCTGAATATAGAATCAGATGAATTTTCATCAACTGGTAAACTAAAACAAAATTTTATTATAAAAATTAAAATGTCTAAAATTATAAGGGTTAAAATTCAACTGTTTTAAAAAAAATTATATTCAATAATGCAATGTAGTAATTGCTTTAGTTTATCGCTAATAACACAAAAATAAATGTATTTTCCCTATACCTTTGAATTGGTTCATCAATCCATGATACTGAAAGCCACGTCTTTAAATCTTCTGGTAAGAAATAATTAGGAGGCATCCATTGAATCCCAACTAATTTTAATTTTTCATTGTATGAATATATTTTATTATACCAAAAACAACATTTTTTCACAAGATGTCTAGACAGTATCCTATAAAAAAAAAAATAGTAAAAATCAAAAGTGTCAAGAAGTACATCAAGCGCTACATAAATTTTAATTAATAATTATAGCTAGATAAGACTATTTTTGTTAATTTTACGTTATTATTATGCTAACAATTATTATTTAAGAAAAACGAGCTAAAAATCTTATAGTTAAAATTTTTTTCAAGTAAAAATAATTAAATTTTATTTCATTAGCATATTTATGAGTTTGATTATAATATAAGGTTCTCTACTACAAAACTTGAATTATTCATTTGGTATCTACTTTAAAATTATTCTTGAGAAGTACGTTTTATAATAAGAATAAATTACTTAATTTGTAATATCAAATTATAATCAAATCAATGTTAAAATAAACTTGACTAAAAGCAGTAATTTAAACTTAAAAACATTTGAGTTGACGAATTTTCCTGTTAGAATGAAATTGTATATTGGGATTTCTGTTAAAGGATTTAATATAGAATATTGTAAAATAATAAATAAAATGAAATTCACCATATTCTGGAAAGAATTGCATAAGCTATAGTTGATGGGGTCCATGCATGTCCTATTTGAATTCTTCCTCGAAAAAAAGTAGCTGCACATTTTGAAACATTTTCTATCCTGCACATCAATTTAGCGAATCCTTGAGTTCTTATTAAAACATACTGAAGCATTTGTTTTGTAGGTAAACTAACAGTGCTACTTATTACGGTATTGTCGATTAAATACTGGTATTCATTTTCAAGTGTCAATTTTAAATAATTAAGCAATGCACGATTAACTTTTTCCATATTTTTTAAACCTTTGTCATTTCTAAATTTTGTTTTCATTCTGTATATCAATCGACTTAAAATTGTTGCCTCATTACGTAAAAAGTTCTGTGACTTAATATCATTGTATATTTTATTTAATGTGTTTAAAAATTTTTTTGTATCTGAAAAATAAATAAATAAATTTAAACATAAGTTAAAAAAAAAATTAATTGTAAATTATTGTGTATTAATTTACCGAATTCATCTTCTGTTGTTTTCCAAGAACTCGTTGGCGGGCGTTGTAATTCCAGTTGATTCCATAAAATATCCATGTTTAATCAAACAGTTAATTTATCAATAAAGTTTATATTTATGTTTATTCTAGATTTTAAATGTTTAGGTTATGTTTAAAGTGTCAACAGTTTGCCATGCTTTCAACTTAGAATTTATCAACAAGTGTAGATGATAATATTATCTTCTGTTGGTAAAAAATGAAAATTTTTTTTTTTTTACTATTTCTTAAATAAAAGTTTCATTTGTAAATCTATTAAATAATAATAATTATTATTATACATAAAATATACTGAACCATACTTACAAACTTAATGATATAATTAAATTTTTTGAAATTAAAAAACTACTTGCACTGTCATCTACTGTCAAATATTGACAATAAACAATTGATTTGCATGTAGCGACACTATAATTTTAGCTGGTTGTTGTTTTTAAGAGCAAAGCGTCAAATGTCAACAAACACAATCACGTGTGATAAAATAATATGCGTTTGTTTATTAATATTTGACATCTTTAAACATTTTTTCAAATTTTAATAACAAAAACATAATAGTGATCTTCTTATTAATAATTGTAGTATTTCATAAACAATATTTTCTATAAAGAAAATGGATTCTTCAACATCTAATGACGATGATAACAAAATAGAAGCCGAAAATATGATTGTTTTGGTTAAATGTGACAAAGAAAATCCTGAATTAAGTGATATTTATGTCAATAAAAATAATGTAAGTAAAATTTAAATTTTATAAATTAAAATGTTAAGACAAAAAGTTGTTGCATTTAATAAATTCTTTAATTAAATACATACATTAAAATACTCTAAAGTACAAATTTTTATTTGTAATCATTGTCTCTTATAATATACAAGTATGAAAAAGAATATAAATTTATTGATGTCCATTTGATGCTGTCAATACCTTAAGCTAAATTTTCTGAGCTCATATCATAAAGAAATTTTTTTTTTGGCCAGAATCAACTTTTTTTTTTTTATTTTTATAAATGACAAAATTATTTTTTGACGCAAGTTTATTGCTTATATTTTAAAATGATCTTGAATTGACAGACATAAATATTGTTGGATTTTAATTGAAAATTGATTACATAAAATTAAAAACGTGCATATTTTTTTAAGTACTTTTTTTTCCGTAATTCATTGCTTTAAAAAAAAATTAAAAATTATCAAGTGTTGGCTTATTTTGGTGTCATATGTTAAAGATTCGTGAATTGACAAGAAAGTTGAGATATTCATAGTAATTTCTAATATCTGAACTAAAATCGAATAAAAAAATTTTTATAATTAAAAAAATTGTCTTTTATAATAAATCAATACCTAATTAAAAAAAAAAAATGAATAATTTTTTAGTATAGAATTGGCAGAGGACGAGATTGCAACTTTCATATTCTTGATGTTCTGATTTCAAGAAATCATTGCATTCTTACGTTTAACAAAAAGACTGAAGAATGGAGTATAACAAACTTAAGTTCAACTGGAACAACATTGAATGATAATGTTTTAGATAAAGATAAACCTTATGTTATTCACATAGGTGACTTTATCCAATTTTCTGTTTGTCATAAATTTAAGTTTTATGTAAAAGAATTCATTGAAAATGGACCTGTTAAGAAAAAGCAACGTATTGATGAATCTGTTTTTAATGAAGAAATTAAAAGACAGAAAGCTTTCGCCGAGGAACAAGAACTCAAGAGAAAGGAATTGGAAGAACAACTCGTTAACAGGCAGAAAGAACAAGAAGATTTAAAAGCACGTCTAGATGAAATAATGAAAACCAAGCAAGAAGCAGAAGGAAAAAGTGAAGAGCAAAATGAATTGATAAAGCAACTCGAAGATAAAATAAAAGCTGGTAATGAGGTTGAAACACAGTTGCAACAAAATTATACTCAACTTATGAGTACTGTAGAAGCGCAAAAACAACAATTTGAACAGTTATTAAATGCTGAAAGAGCTAAATGGCAACAAACATTGGATATGACCAAACAAGAAAAGGAGGATATGGAGAGAAAAATGTTGGGAGATATGGCGGCCTGGAGACTTAAGCAAAATGCTGAGTGGACCACAGTGGTTGATGAGTTAGTAAAGAAAGAAAAAGACATACAACAAAAATTAGTCGTCGAAAAAGCTTCCCTTGAGCAAAGATTACAAAAAGCTGAAAGAGCTTTGCAAGAAAAAACAGCTCTTGCTGAACAGTTGCAACATACAGTACAAAATCAACAAGGTGAATATATTTTTATACCTTTCTGTAATCAATTCGCGTTACTAATCCCAAGAGGGCGCATAAAAAAATTTTTTTTATTCCAACTAACTTAAAAATGTTTATAACATTTAGTTCTGTAAGAAAAGTAAATAAAAAATTTTTTTTTGTATACGCCCGTTTGGTTCTAAGACAAAAAAATTCTAAAGCCAAAAAGGCGTATCATTTTTTTTTAATCATAATTAATTATTAGCCTTAAAAAAAAAAAAAAATTATAACACCTATGAAGTGTGAAGAACTCATTATAATTATCACAATAATTACTTTTTTCAACTCATTTTATTTAAAAAGAATATGGATTTAAATAAAAAAAAAAAAAAAAAAACAAAATAACAGTAACATTCTATTTGAAGAAAAATGTATTTGACTCAATTATAAAATTTTCATTTCTATTGGCCCAATAATCATGTCTCCACTGATGAAGTGTAATGAATAATGTTTAATTTTACAAATTACAAAATACCATCGATATTACAAAAGTATGTGCTTCGATGATGGTAACAACTGATGAATTTGTTTTAAGATTAAAATATTTTTTCAAAGTTTAAATTTACAAGCAATATATATTTATGATTTTTTACTTTCAGTAGCAAAAGATAATGATAATGGAGTCGGCATCGGAGTAATGCCTAGCTAAATTGATATTTTCGTTTCTTCTATAATCAAATACATATTCTTTTCAAATAAAACGAGTAGAAGAGTCATTATTTTTATCAGTGTTATAATTTTTTTTTATTTTTTAAGGCTAATAATTAATTATGATAAAAAAAAAAAATGATACGCCCTTTTGGCTTTAAAATTTTTTCGTTTTAGAGCCAAAAAGACGTAGACAAAAAAAATTTTTTTGATTCACTTTTCTTACAGATCTGAATGATAAAAATATTTTTAGTCTCGTTGGAGGAAAAAAATTTTTTTTATACGCTCTTTCGGCTTTGCAGAGCCAGAGGGGCATAGATGTTGAGATGCGCCCTTTTGGCATTAGTAACGAGAATTATTGAATAACTTATGAATAACTAATTTTTATAATAACAATAATTTTCATTTTTAGTCATTGTTGTTGAAGTAGCATCAAATGGAGCACTAGGAGAATCTTTAGATACAATTGATCTAACTAAAGATGATGTCCGACCAGGTTCTTCTAAAGACAATGCAGTAGTTGATAAAGTTGGAAGCATTTTAGATGATCAATTAACATGTCAAATATGCTCAGAACTTTTTGTAACAGCTGTTACTTTGTTATGTTCTCATACATATTGTCAGTATTGTATATCTATGTGGATGAAAAAAAAACGTGAGTGTCCAATTTGTCGTGCAGAAATTACAACTATGTCAAGATCGTTGGCATTGGATAATTTTATTGAACAAATGGTTGATGAATTGTCTACGCACCACAAAGAACGAAGAAGAGAGTTAGTTAATCAACACAAAGGTATAAACCAAAGATTTTTTTTTTAATCGTTTTATTATTATCGACCTGCTAAACTAATGTTTATTTTCAGCTGCTTGTCGCGCGATGGGTATTGGGGTCATCAAGCATAGGAAGAAAGTACATAAACGTAGTACATAAATGTTAATAAACAAAACGAATCTCAAGACAAAATCAAAGAGTTTTCTATTTTGATATTATAGTTTAGCCAATTAAGTACCATTAACAATTAACAATAATCAGTTTATAGTTCGCTTAATCGATAATTAGAATTAAGTAAAAAAAAGAAAAAAGATTCATATTACAAATCATAATATGGAAGATTAAGATGTTATAAATTATTTGAAATATTTATTTCATACTGTTTTATTATTTATAAATAATGACAAATTTATGAGTATTATTTGGTAATTTGTTTTTTTATATCTATTGAATAATTTGATTTTGTCCATAATTATTTAAAATATTCAATTCATGTTGTCCGTAAAAATATTTTAACGTTTGTTAGTTGAATTCTAAACATTAATTTCTTATATTTGTGAAATAAATGCAATATCGTTTTTTTCTTCATGTTGATAATTTAACTTAAAAATTCGTTTTCTAATACATGTTGATAATATGTTTATCATAATTTCATTGCTAATTTTACTCTCATAAGTGTCATAATCATAATCATTATGTATCTGTCTTAATTTCATGTAAAACAAAGAATTTTTTTTTTGTTAAAATATGTTAATTCATATTATATTTATTGAGATTAATAAATATATCTTTAATTATATTTTTCTGCTTTTTTTCATCTATTTTACTGTTTAGCATTTATTATTGTATTATAAGTTTGAATTAAATTTTAAGTTAAAACACTGTTTCCAAGCAAGTATAAAATTGCTAAAAAATTAATTGCGAACTTACAAAAATTTTATTTTATAATGAAAATATTAAAATTATATTGTCAGGTAACTATTACTTAACTAATTACCATTTAGTTTACTAAAAATATTCCAAAGATTTATAAACGCATTAAAAATGTATTAATTTCTATTGTTAATAAAAGGAAAAATAATTTTTATGAAAAAATATAAACATGAGTAATTGACATATTTTTAACTGAAAAATGATAAATAACGAAAGCGAGTAAGAATTAGCAACAGCATAAATAAAACATTTACGTAGAACTTTGAGAAAATATACGATATTAAAATTTAATTTTAAAACTAAAAACAATTTTTAACAAGCATAATATTAATGAAGATTTTTGTTTTTAATTTTTTAAAAAGAAAACAATAGCTTTAATTTGTTAATGATTAAGTCAAATAGCGATAAAACATGATCTTGAATTTAACAGACATCTAAAAATTTTTTATATTTTTTTAACAATTAAATTATAATGTCAAATATATAGCAAAAAAAAATCCACATGTGAAAATAAAAAAAAATTAAAAGTACGAATTTTTTAAAATATTTTTTTTTATAATTGATGGGCTATAAAAATTTCAAAAATTGTCAAATTTCTGTTAATTTTTATATCATGGTAAAACAATTATTGTACAATGCGTAAGATGGATTAAAATTTTCAAATATCCTTTCTATTGCCGCTAAAATCTCTAATGTATAGAGGTACATAAGGGATTTCGCGATATGAGCGCTTATGTTGGCGAATATGCGAGAACGATAAAAGAACAAGTCGCTTAGCAAGAAGCAAAGAGGGGAAAGAGGTGAGAGATGCGCGATCGCGTGTGATTGTAAAGACTATATACAACTCTACGACTTGTTTTATATAGTTAGATTATACACGGAAACGTGAGTCGTTGTTGCGGTGAATGTGTATCTCTGGGTTTCGCGCGTGTCTTTATCACATACTCACGTGTAATATTTAAAATATAATAACATCGTCACGTAACAGGATTAAATTATTTATCCGAGAACAAATGTATAAATGTATTTATTGAAATACATTAAATGAGAATCGAGAATGTTATGTAGAGAGGCGTGATTGTCGCGTTAGTGGTCCGCGGGGCGAGTGTTTGGTGAACGGAACGGCGAGTTAAAGTCTCGCGAGTTGCAAAGTCGCGATACAAGCAACGGCAACGAGTGAGGCTAATATATATATATATATATATTTAAATGGTTAAATAAAAAAAAGCATCGTCACAACTAGTGTCGGTGATGTCAAACATGCGTCGTAAATTATCACGAGATATTGTGATAAAGGTGTGGAGTTTCAGTGTCCTCTTGAGCAAAATTCGTTAGTATTATTATAATTAGGGTGCCAATGAGCCCAGATTTATGGCGGCGCGGGTGCTTTTGTTCGGCATCTTGTTTACGGAAGTAGTGCTCGAGCCCGTTTGCGCCGCAGGTGGGTTTTTAGTCACGTTTTAGCTTTTTTTATTTCTACTTTTATTATTTATTTATACAATGCCGCTTCTTTTTCACTGATAAATATTTTATTATTTTGTTTTAGGTCATTTTTTGGAGTAATTATTTATTTAATTTCAGTGTTTGTTGCCATCCATGTGATGTGTAATTTATTTTTTTGGGGCAGGTTATTTTTTGCGTCACGCACCCGCGATCGATAGCGTGATGGTGACAACCTGTCATTCAAACAATGAATTTTTTTTCGATATATATTTATCAGACGTTTTCTGATTTATACTTATGTTTCCATGAATACGTCTGGTCTTTACTTGTACTAATTTTTATTATTATTATTATTATTATTATTATTCTTTCTTTTTTTTTTTAAATTCTATTTTATTAACCAGCATTGAATTATTTACCTTTGTTATACTTTTGGTCAATGTATTTCTTGTAATTCCATAAAATTAAACTGGTAATAAACAGTTTTATGAAAAAGTTAATGGAATGAGTACATTGTTACGGTCAAAAAAAAAATTTTAATTCATCGGTCATTTACCTTTACTTGGTTATTTGTCCAAAAGAATTATTTATCATTTTTTTTAACAGCTTTTATTTATCCGATATTTATGTGATTATTTTTTTCAGGTGGTAAGGGAGCTGATAACAATTTAAACGGCCATAAAAATGGATCTAAGAGAGATGGGCTGAATTTTAATTTAAATAAAAGTACAAGTCAAAATTTGCGAATTGAGCCAGGCGGATTGATTGTGCTGGGAAAGAAAGGTGTTACCTTAAATTGTTTACCTGGCAATAATCATGATGTATCTTGGCTTTACAATGGTGAATCAGCACCACCATGTGGAGTTGCACGATGTGGAATTCTCGATAATGGCTCACTTCATTTTTATAAGGTTCATATTTTTATCCTTGCTTTGAATGTTAAGAATAAGACTATTATTGATTAAAATTTAATATTAGTAACTTCATTGATATACAGACGTATAATATCAATATTTATACAATTTTAAATCTCATGATTTTTCTAAATTTATTTGGGTTCACTTGGACTCTTGGAGATTTAAATAATCGATAATTTGGTTTAATTTTCTATAGTGAAGCTTTAATCCCTTGCTTTACAGTTAAATGATTTTATTGTCATACAGATTTATTTTACAAAAATAAATAAGTAAAAAGTAAAATTTTCATAAGCCTAAGTAAATACTAAAAAATCATAATATAAAATTGTAGTACAGTTCTTTATTTATTTTAGAAATTACATTTATCATTTTATTTATTATAAATAATTTTTCAACAGAAACAAAATTTACAATTGGCACAAAAATCCAGTGGACGAAATGAAACAATTGATATGTCTAAAAAACATGAATATCGTTGTATTGGACGAACTGCTTCTGGAGGATTTTTACGTTCTTCGCCGGTTTTTATACAAATTGCTGGTATAGTTGATTAAATATAATTTATTTATTGATTGTTCCAAGCATATTAGTCCTATATTTCCGAGAGTTTGATTTTAACCATATTCGATTTGGTTGATTACTTTTTCCTTCTAAGTATTGCCAAATTTATTTTTATCCATAGTTATCAGACCTTAATAAGTTAAACTTTTAAAAGAATTATTCATTTACTTGAGTCAGATAGAAAAAAAAAATGTTATTTATAATTTTAATTGATACATTTTTAACGCACTTGAAATTTAGTAAACTAGATTTTTTACTGTTGAAATTGATATAGCTTTTAAAACCGTACATCATAAAATAAATTATCATGCAATTAATTACAATTAGCATTTTGTTTAAGTGAGCTTGGGAGGTATATATTATTTCTAAACCGAAAAAACTGTGAATACTAAAGATTAAAGAGTACAATTATTTTAACTGTATGTCTTTGTATGGATCGTGTAGTATCACTTAGTTTCTATGCACGTTAATGCCCGTGTTTCGGATTTATGACGTTTCTATAGTTTATTATTCTCGGTATAAGTCTTCCACTTAAGGAGTCGTAAAATCTAATCCTGCTTCAAGGATATGCATCCACAGACTAAATGTTACAACGCTAACGTATTCTACACTTTTTACGCGTAAATTATGCTAAAATGAAGTAAAATAGTCTTTAAGGCCTTAGAGATAAATTTATATTATGTAATTTATAAATTCAATAACTATTTATAGTTATGTAAATTCTTATCGATAAATTATTATTATTTAGGAGAATAATTGTCAATAATTTTCGTGAGATATACTCTGAATCTACAATAAAAAAAATAATTCTAAATGTTAATCTGATTTAAACAGAAAATGAAATTTTGTAAAATCGGAACTAATTTGATTAAACTATGTATATAGTATCTCTCCATTAATTTGGACTTTAATCACGAGAAAGAATCTAAAAAATAAAATTAAACTTCAAGTGTTGATAAGTAAAAAAATTGAAGTGAATAAGAGCCTAATTGAAAATGGTTAAATCAAAACTTGAGTTACTTGAGGGAAAAAATGTTGCATTATTGTAACTTGCACTTATTAACATTGTTATTTTCAGATCTTTCATATACTTTTAAGAAATCTCTTATCAACGTTACGGTACATGAGGGAGAAATTACAAGATTATCTTGTTTAATTGATAGTTTACCGTATCCTCCAAATATTACTTGGCAACATGATGGAAAACCTCTACTTTCAGATACTAAGTATGTTTTATTTTATAATTTGTAATTAAATTTATAAATACAAATAATTAACTTACGATTTTTGGTAGATATATTATGGTACCACCAGGTGTTCTTTATATAACTGCAACAAAACAGTCTGATACTGGTTTATATAGGTAAAATTATCTATGTTTATATATTTTTATTTTTGTAATTAATTTTTAAATTATTAATTAATTTCATGTTTGTTTTAGGTGTATAGCTACAAATGATTTTATAAAGAAAACTAAAAAAAGCAGAGAAGCTAAACTGACTGTTATTCCAAAACTTAAATTACAAGAATTAAACATTCCAGTTTCATTATTCCCTCAAAGTTTTTATAATTATACTTTAGTTAAAGGATCAAATCTTTCTCTCGTTTGTGCAGTATCTGGTAATCCATTATTATTTCTAAAATGGTCATTCGTACCACAGCGTTCAGGTACTAGAAAATTATTTTCTGATCTAAATAACTAAATAAATTATTCTTTAATTTTATTAATAACATGTGCATTGATATTTAAGATGGAGCTAATTCAGCGCAATCTCGCATTCTTTTTAATTCTACTACCGGTATCAGTGTACTTGAATTAAAAAACGTCAGCATTTTTCATGCCGGTACTTATCTGTGTTCCTTAGAAAATGCTGCCAGTGGAGTTATGGAGATTCAGGTACATCTTATAGTAATATTAAAATAGTTTATTTATTAAGTTATTTAATTACTCTACTAAAATATGTTGTTTATTTCAGAATATAACTGTTGATGTAACAGTTCCTCCAACATTTATTAAAAAACCTTCGAATCAAAATTGTCCTAATGGTAAAACGGCTAGATTTGAATGTCAAGCTGAAGGAGTGCCTACTCCAAAAATATATTGGCTTAAAGATGCAAAAAATATTACGATTAATGGTGGTACATAGAACAAAAAAAATATATTATCATTATTTTTTAGTGTAAAATAACAATTAAAACTTATTACTTTTTTTTTTTTAACTTAGGACGAAAAACGATTTATATAAAGGAAAATAATAAGATTGAATTGGCGATATCTGCTACAGTACCATCTGATTCTGGTGATTATCAATGTGTAGCTGTAAATTCAGCTGGAGAAATTTGGGCCGCTGGTCGGTTACAAGTTAATGCATCTCTTAATAGTCCGGCTGCACCAACTAAATTAACATGTCATACACCATCACCGGTTAAAATCTCGATTTCGTGGACTCCGCCAGAGTCTTTACCACCGTCGAGTATTACTGCGTACACCGTTCATTACAGTCCTGAAGGTATATCAATCATTTAGATTTTTTAAGTCAAATGAGATATTTATATTTCAATGATTCTAATCTGCAATGAATTTAATTTAATATAACAGAACATTATAATATTGATGATTTAAGAATGTTGAATAAAAAAATTTTTATTGATTCATAAATTTAAAGGTGGCGGTAAAGAAGAAGTTTCACCTGAGCCGGGAAATTCTACAACAGTTGAAGTAACAAAACTTCTTGAACCATACACAAATTATTCATTTTATGTGCGTGTATGGAACAATAATGGGGCTAGTGATCAATCTGCGACAATTGTATGTGCTACGGCGCCAAGTGGTTAGTGTTTAGAAAAAAATTTTAACATTTGTTATAAATAACTATGTTTTAATACCGCTCGTTTTTGTAAACATTAATGTTATTGATATATTTTTGTGTAGTTCCCAAAACGGCGCCTAAAGTTATGGTAGATGTATTGAGTAGTACAAAATTAAATATAACTTGGCAACCTTTGACTAAAAAAGAGGCAAGAGGTGTTGTTATTGAATATAAAATTCAATGGAGGCTTCATGAACACCCTTCGTACCGAGTAATTTTTGTTCCAGCTAATGTTGAACATCATTTATTGACAAGTAATATATTATTCTATTTATCAGTATAAGTAATTTGAATTTATTGTTAATGTATCGATCCATTTCTGCAATAGATTTACTACCCGGAGCACAATATGACTTACGAGTTTTAGCACGAACGGAAAAAGGGTGGCCAAATATCAGTGAATCTCTTCTAGGATGGAACACAGTTGTTATGCCTACTATTGATACGGATAATTACAATATCAGAAATGTTTTGGATGTTGAAATAATCAATATGAATGCTTCTCACTTGAAGGTTTGATAATTTGTTAAAAAATTACATATTTTAACGGGCACACCTAGTGTGACAGCTTAAAAAAAAGGCGATTTTTGAGAATTCAAAAAAAAAAAAACTACTGTATCAATTGTTTTAAAATTTTAAGGGTATATTTATATATATTCTAAGAGTACACAGTAAAATTTTTGAAGACAAAAATTAAATATTTTTCGAGTTACACGCGATCTCCGACGGCGCTAAAAAAAAGGTCTTCCACTGCTGCAGTGATTCCGACCTTCTCCGTGGATGAAACCTAAAAAACAAAAATTCTCGTTGAACTAGAAGGTATTGTCCGTGTCCGTACAATGACCGACGGCAAAAAAAAATGTCAAAAATTGACAAAATGGCAACGTTTTAAAAAAAAAAAGTTTAATTTTACCCAAAATTTTGGTCGTTTTTGGCCTGCCAAAATTCGATTTTTGATCAGATAAAAAAAACTGGTAGGTCATTGCATGGAAAACTATGTATAGAAAATGCAGAAAAAATTTGATAGTGATCGGATCATTTGTCTCCGAGTAATTACTGCAGCAAATTCGAAAAATGCTGTTTCGAGAAAAACGCGTTTAAAAATAAAATGATCCTATTCTGCCGAGCGGCTACTCTAAAAATGGCTGTAACTTGAAAACTATTTGAGTTATCAATTAAAAATTTTAGTATGTTATTTTTAAAGGTATAATCTATCGAAATATGTAACAAAAAAAATCGATTTTTTTAAATTTCATACTAGGTGTGCCCCTTAAACTTTATTAATTAAGCATTCATGATTTATAATGTTTTCAATAATTTTTCTTATATCTCGTTCTTGCCTTTTCGATCATATTTTTGATGCTAGTGTATCTAATTCAAGTGGATGGTGTTATTCCATCTTCACTAAATGCTTTTAGGACAAATCGTCCCTCGAGTTAGGTCGATGGGTAACCATCGAACTTGAACACTAGTTTTAAGCTGGTGAATGCTAGTATCTGTTCAGTTCAATTTTTAACTATTAACGACGGACAGCCACTGAGAATAAAGAGCAACTTTTTTTTTTTGAAAAAATCCGTGAAAAATTAACCAAGCCAGGAATCGAACCTGGATCTCCCCGATTACATGTCAGGATGCTTTTACCATTAAGCTACCGGGTCATTCTTCACTTATTTTTCTCTTGGTATACTCTTAACTCTCAGTAGGCTGCTAATTGCTGCTAAAAAGTTGCTCTTTATTCTCAGTGGCTGTCCGTCGTTAATAGTTAAAAATTGAACTGAACAGATACTAGCATTCACCAGCTAAAACTAGTGTTCAAGTTCGATGGTTACCCATCGACCTAACTCGAGGAACGATTTGTCCTAAAAGCATTTAGTGAAGATGGAATAACACCATCCACTTGAATTAGATACACTAGTATCAAAAATATGACCCAAAAGGCAAGAACGAGATATAAGAAAATGTGATTGTCACGGTCAAGAAACAATTAATAAAGTTTTCAATAATATTATTATAACAGATGAAATGGCAAGTAAAAGAGGCTACTTTTGATACATTTAAATTTGATTCATGGCAAATTTATTGTGAATCTGTAAATGGTGATAAATTATTTACTGCTCTTTTGGACAAAAATTCTACAGAATACATGTTTACAAATCTCGGTAAATAAAATATTTGATTATTATTATTATTATTTTAATTATTTTATTAATGCAATTAAAAAATACCCGAACAATATTTTTTGTTATATAGAACCAAATATTTCTTATACAGTGGGCTTATGTATTGTAACTAAAGGCGTATCGAGTGATTGCATACTTAAAATTATTAAATCGATTCAATATGATTCAGGTGAATATAAAAATTAGTTTGCTTTAAAAATTGTTAGGTATATAAATTAATAATTAATTTGATCTCTAGGTAATACTCCTGTAGCTTTAGAGGCTAATCCATTATCACCATCATCAATCCAATTAACTTGGGCTGTAGTAAATAAAACTAGTGTAGATAAATACGAAGTTTGTTATGAACTAGTGCAGTATCCAGATTCTAATTTCTCTAAATGTATTTTTGTGTGAGTATATCATTTAATAAGTTATTTTTTTTAACATTAATATTTAAATTTATTTATGGATATAAATAAATATATTTAAATTAAAATTTTACTATAGGAATGATACCAAAGCAATTATTGGTGAACTCGAAGCATTTACGCTGTACCGATTTAAGGTGCGATCGTTCCAAAAAGATTTAAATAATAGTAGTCAGTATAGTGAGAGCATTGAGTGTTACACCAGTGAAGATGGTTAGTAATTATTTTCAATAAAATATCTTTTCTTTTAAGAAATTAATCTAAAATTATAAAATTAATATTTTGTCTTTTTAATTAAATTTTTAGTTCCTGGTAAGCCTGAGGAAGTGCAAGTTTTTCAAAATGGTACAAAAATACGTGTGGTTTGGAAACAGCCAAGCAAAACAAATGGAATAATATTAACGTATTTTATATCTTATTATTCATCGGATTTAGTAAATTCAACGTTAACTTGGGGTAATATGACTGTACCTGGAAACAAAACTTCTGTAGTTTTACCTGATTTGCCATTAGGAGGACGTTATTATATTATGGTACAAGCAGCAACTAAAGCTGGATATGGAAGACGTTCTGATCCAATTTATATATTTTTGGGTGTTAGTATGTCTAAAACTTCGACTTCATCGGATAAACAAAAACCTCCTGCAAAATCTAAACCGGATCAAAGTCTTGGTATATTTTAAATTATAAATTACTGTTTTATATTACTAAGAAACAATTACGTTTATTGAATTATTTTTCACATTATAGGTATTATATTGGGTGTGGGTATAAGTATCTGCTTCATAATGATAAGCTTATGTAGCATATATTGTCGAAAAAAATGGGAGCACTCGCGATCGCTCAGAGAAAGTGCTCAACCATTTAAAAATCGTATTTTTTCAAGAAATAGTACTACCTGTTGTGTTGAACAGTCTTCAACGTCAGTAAGTCAGCAAGTAAATAATCGGATTGGTTGTAATGAAATTGAATTGGCAGTATTATGTCCATCATCACCGACATCAGTGAACCCACAATTGGATTCAAAGGTAAATTATAAATAATTAGATTTTTTGCGTTAATTTCAAATAACAAATAATGATATTTATTTAAATATATTCAAAAGGGTGTACTGTCAAATGGTGTAGAAATAGGAGCTAAAGAGCCACTTTTGACGTCTTGGAATTCAAATGAAGAAAATCGAGATTTACATATTACGGAAAACATACAAGTAATTATTTTTAAATTAATTGATTTTTTCTGATATTAAAATTGTTTTATTTTTTTTCTTTTTTTTTTTTTTTTAGTACAAACAAAGTAATAGTCCTGTGTTAAAAAACCAGTTGGGATCCGAACAAGATTTGAACATCACAGAATTAACAACAATAGACTGTACTCTAAATAGTAGTACGAATAGTTTGAATAACAACCTTGGTTGTCCAACGTCGTCTCCAAAGAAAATTACACCACCAGTAATTCCAGTATTGGAGCCAAACGGATGAACTTATTTTGTACTACACGTAGCTCAAACAACTAAAACACCAATAAACAATAACAACATTTACTAAAGCTGTAAGAAATAGTGAGGTAGGTTCAAAACTGTTACAGAAAAATAATTTTTATTACACTAAATTTACTTATCTGATAAAAATTACAAATTATGAATTGAGAATGAAAGATTAATAAGGAAATATGATTCTTTGATCAATAGTAATCTAATCAAAAAAATTATTAAGCATAATATAAAGAAATTCGTTTCGTATATTTAATGGTTATATAATGCCTCGATTTATGAAAAATCACCTGATGTAAAGAATCATTTATTCATGCATATAGTGAGTATCATAGTTTTTTATAAAAAGAAAAATAAGAAAAAAAAAATCATTCGAAAATTTAAAATTCCATCTGAAATTGCTTATGGTTGTTATTAACCGTGTAAATATAAGTATAAATATATAAATATATATTATATAGGTATTCTTATCAAAAAAAATAAAAAAAAAAAAAAAAAATTAATAAATAAAAAAAAAGAATATCAACGCTTCAATATATAAGCGCTATTGAATACAAATACCAGTGTATTACGAGCTAGTGCCTCGAGAAGTTAATTAAAAAATGATTGACAAAAATAAAAAAGAAATGATGATTGCTCACGTTTGAATGAGATGTTGGAGGTTCGATGAATAGGATTAAAATAATATTATTGTGAAATATTAATAAACATAACATAATATTTAATATGTACATATAATATTTCAATTTAAGAGATTAATTGAGAAGGGTGAACAGTAGATTTCGTTTCGAAAATTCTTATCAAAAGAAGTATATTTTTTGTAAAAAAAAAAAAAGATAAATTTAAAAAAAAATTTTATAGGTAGTTTGATAAAAAAATTATTTTGGAAAAATAATTTTCGAAATTCAAGTTTATTAAAAAGAAAATTCTCATTTACATATCGATACCTATGTTCTAGGATGTCATAATTCATAATTAGAAAATTTTACAGTAGGCGGTAAAAACGGTTCATTTTCAGCATTAGTTAAATTGGATTTGATAGGTAAGAACATTTATTAAATAATTCGATCTCTTAATTTTTAATATGAATTGCATAATATTGTTATAAATACATTTTTAAAACAAAAAGTCAAGTTGTCAAATTTTGTGGCTTTCGACATCTTAGAACGTGGGTATCGATGTATCAAAATAATAAAAAAATTTTAGGGTATATTCTTATGAAAAAATCAATATTTAAATGAAAATCTTTCGAACATGAATTGCATCAGATGAATAAATAATATTATAAAATAGGTCTTTTTAATTTCTATTGGTATTTAAAAATATTTTCCTTTCATGCATTGTATTTGTCTCAATTAAATCCATTAAAGTTTCAACAGAAACATTTATCAACTTACTTCATTTTTGTAAAATCAAACAATTTTTGAAGACTAAAATTACACTTTTTCTTGATTAATCTCTTTTATTGTCTATAATTAATAATTATCTAAAAAATCTTTTTTTATGATCATTTTAAATATCAATGAAGATAAGATAGTTTAAAAGTAGATTTCACCGAAGAGTCCTTTTTAATAATTCAAGATCTACATAATTAATGGTATAGTTTTTAAAATTAATTTATATTAGTTTTTATTAACAAAATATTACATTCCAATTGTTACGTACTTCTTTGAATTGAGCAAAATTATAATAATAGTTGAATCATTTATTTGATGAAAGTTTTTAAAACAGTTATAGTAATTTTTTTTTTAGTTGTATATTATAAATATTTTTATTTTTAAACTTATCGTTATCGAATTTTTTACAGTTGTGACTATGAGTAAAGTTAAATATGTATAATAACTATGAACGAAAAGAATTAAAATTGACGTATTTTCATTAACAAATTAATCATTATATTATATAATAATGATAATTGGATAATAATAGTAATAAAAATAATATAAATTATACTAAGTAATAATAGGGATAATAATAATAATGATAAATAATTAAAATAATATTTTTAAAAAATAATAAAATAAATAAGAACGTAAATTGATACAAATTAGATTAATATTTGTCGTAAAAATGGTATAAATTATAAGTATTCTTTACGTTCATAGTCGGATAATGTTTTAATAGTAATCAATTTTTTTTTTTATTACCTACGGTTTTCGAATGTCATTTGATTATTCCACCATAAAGATTAAAACAAAATAAAGCAAAAGACAAAAATAAACAATTCAAAGAAGAAATAGCGAGTAAATCCAGGCATAAACCTGACTGGCGTATGTTACCATGACAGAAAACCTATTTCAGTACCTGATAGAGATTAAGTTATATCTTTTAGATGTATAAAGTTTGAATAATTTCAAGCAAAAAATGTCAATGTTATAAATCTACTTTCATAATACTGTTATATTTATTACTTCATACATTCAATTAAACATTTATTATTTTATTTTCACAACGATCCACTTATTGCAATAGCTCACTTGTTACATTCTAAATACTCTTCCCATAAAACCTAAAAGACTTATAATACAATAGTCCGAATATATTTCATTCTCATTAATCTCAACAATACAATGCAATAGTTACATTTTATACAGATTATTTTATTGAAATTGTCATATTTTGTTAGTTAAATAATTCAATTATCATTATAATATTTAAAAGATAAAAGTATCTTATTATTTTGTACTATTTTTTAAGCAACGCACTGATGTTACAGGAATGATTATTTATAATCGTACATACTATTTATACACCAATTTTTTATTTATAACCATAGAAAAACATAACTGATTTATTTATGATTCAACCATAGCACGAGTTATAATCATTTATTCTAGTTATTTATCTTTTGCTTAATTTTTAAGCAAATATTTACTTTCCATTTATCGAGTAGTATAAAAGATACCTGAAAGAAAACAAAAAAAAAAACAAAAAAAAAAAAAAAAACAAATAAATTAAAAAATTCAAAATTTATTAACAATATATAAGATTGTTACAAAGCTAATACATAAACAATATAACAGTTGGTCTATTTCTATTCTTGATGTCATTATATCTTAAATAGTCTGGAATAATAATGGCAGCAGAATATTCATTATTAACCATAACTATTCATAAAAATCAATTTATTAAATTATTTATTATTATTTTTATTATTACTATTATTATTTTAATTATATAATTATCATTACTATAATTGTAATTATATATAGTTGTAAAATTGTCAGTAGGTATTTTAATGGTTACTTCAAAATTATTTTTATACGTCAAAAATAATTATTCGGATAAAATTAATGAATAATTATAATTAATATTAACATACGAATTTTTCTTTAATTTTAACTCTACTGTAAATGAATTTAAGTTTGAAAGATTATGCAACCGTGTTTACATTACATAAACAAGCTTTTTTTTTTTTTATTTTACTTCACGCTTAATGTTAATAGTTCCCGTTTTAATGTAAAACTCACTTTACGCTTACCAAACTGTTTAAATTGTATTATTTTTAATATAATGGCGTAATTGTTTTGTAGTTTTATAAATTACATATATAGATAGTAGTATTTGAAACACCAGATGTACAATTCTCAGGTCAAATTTAAAAGAAAAATTTTTTATGATTAAACTTTTGTGAACAATTTTATTATTTTAATAATAACAATTAATATTATAGATTTTATTTTAATGTATTTTAAATCTCATTAATTGAAAATATAATCATCAATCATTCAACACAAACATTTACATTGTTGTGATAGTTCATTAAAAAAAAAAAATTTTTTTTGTTTTGCTACTCACTGTATAGAGTCGCCGGGTTGAATATATTTATGGTAATAGTTTATTAAGGATCAAAGATGTTGCATTATTCAAAAGTACAAAGCAATAAAAAATAAAAAATATAAATCTTTATAAATTTTTTATTTTTATTTGCTTTTTGATACTGTTTACTATTTATATTTAATTTTAGTTATTCAAATTTATATATTATTTATTTATGAAAATAATTTAATCCCACCACCGTTACTGTAAATAAACCATATCAATTTTATATAATGAACAAACAGTCCTTAGCTTTTTGTAGCACTAATTATGTACTGAAAAATATTTAAAAATATACACCTGATTTATATTAAACAGTCAAGTTATAACGGTGAAGCTTTTGTACATTTTTATACATACAATATTATAAATATTTATACTAAAATTTATAATTTATTCCATTGAAATTTGTATTCCATTAAACTGCCGATTATTTATCATAAAATTTTATAAAAACAAACAAATAATAATAATAGATAATAAGCGAATTAACTATTAAAAAGCTGCCCTGGTAATTTACTTGTTTATAAGATTTGAATAATTAATTATTGTATCGTACGGCGACTCTAATCGCACGAATATACCTCCATAATGTTTTTATAGCTCTTTTATATAAGTATAAAGAAAGAGTCGATACTAATTACTTAATAAATTATAATTATTATTATTATCATGATAACTTAACTGCGATTAATTATTATAATTATTATTATTATTGATTTTAACTATTTTATACCTCAATATTATTATTTCCAACTGAGTCTATTTTAAGCCATATGTATTATGCGGCGATTTAATTTTAGTTGTTAACCAAACGGAATGATGAACAATAAACAAAAATAAAATTATTTGTTTTACTGTTTATTACAATAATGTATTAATTGTTTTTATAATTCCATTATTATTATTATTATTATTATAAATAATATAATTTTATGTTTGCATAATTTAGAATATCTCTTTACATTTAATATATTATATATTAAATACGTACAATTGTTCAGATTATACAATACGACTTAATTATACGAGCGAGACGAATACTGAAAGTATATACTTCAATTCATTGCATTAAATTGAATAATAGAATTTAAAACAAATTTTATTGCGTATGTATTGTACAATAAAAACTTCAAATTGAATTATTAAACAAAAAGTGAAATTTTCAAG